TGGTAGAATGATAGTCGGGAATCCGAGTCAGTAGTCGAGTCAGAGTCGGGAGACTGTAGAGTGATTACGGCTTCAGAACACATACTACTGGAAGACGAATTGCCTATACTGGCTCGTATACTCATGGTGGAAATATATAAGGTGAAACAATCTGATAGATGCGCAGTAGGAAAGTGCATATTCGGACATATTTGATTGGTTATTCCAGTATAACCTGGGGTGCGTTCAGGAAATCAGAGTATTAGTAGAGTGAGGTAAACTCTGGGTGCACCTCAGAGTGATATAGACGAAGAAGTTTCTGAACGCCTTGAGTGATGCGATTGAGGTGTCCCTGTCTGTTAGAAATGAAAAGATTATAAAAGGTTAATTGCTATTACAATAAAAATTTTCAATCGCACAACTTCAAAATCAGTTCTATTTATCATTAAATTTTCCATTTTTTTTCTTCAAAAAGAAGTGAACCTTTTTAATTGTGAAACTTAACCTTAGTCTTTGTCCTATTTAGGCACGTGATTTTGCAATGCGCATGCGGGGCGATTTTTACCCAACTCAAAAGTAGGTTGACGATAGAGTGATCTCGGAGTGATCCAAAACGTTTCTGAACGCTTTGGGTAAATTATATCTGAAGTTTCTGAACGACCAAGGCGCACACTAGAGCACTCCAGAATTATCTAGGCGTAATTCCTGAACGCACCCCTGCGCTATTATAGGTAGGAAAGTGCATATTCGGACATATTTGATTGTCTATTTCCAGTATTGCTACCGCCATTATGCGTACTGTTTCACCTTATATATTTCCATCATGCGTTATGCGTATATCGACGTGACCCAACATCTGTGCGATAGAGAAAGGTAGAGAGGCCCCTTTGGCTGCAATGCGCATGCGTCAGTACTGTGGAACGCGAACTGAGGGCAACGGGTTGAACGGGGATGAGTGGCACATGCGCGTTGCAGTCAAAGGGGCCTCTCTACCTTTCTCTCTCGCACAGATGTTGGCTTTGCGGTCAGCGGCCTATTCTTCTTCCAGTAGTATATGTCTATATGTTCTAAGTGAAACCGACCCTTAGTTTGATTCCGGCCTGAGACTTAAAAGAGGTTATGCCGGCCTCTTTCCTGTTACCGTCGAAATCATCCGTACACTACCGCCAATACATCCATTTCTGGTTTGGAAACTACGTGACTATATCATTTACTAACACTATCGATAAAATCGTATTGTCGAAAATGGATGTGGGTTGTGTCTGTACTACATCCACAGGTGGGAGGGAGGAAGGGAGAGAGAGAAGCGTACAGACTATTTCTCCATAAGGCTAGTGAAATGAATCCCTCCATGGATTTACATATGAATAGATAATGAATATGAATCCTTCCATATGGACTTAAAGAAAAAGAAGGCGAAAATGCTCAGTGTAAAAAGTGCAAGCAATACACAAACACACGTTCTGATCAGATTTTAGCATGCCACATACGCTCCGATTTACTTGGCAAATCGTTTACGCAAGAATATCAAATGCATTTTCTCAATATTTGCTCAAGTTGTTTACGCAAGCTAAAATAACTATGCAGTTGTCTTTGTCACGCGCCTGCCTGGTTGTTTCAGGCTTAACATTCACTTTCCTCTCATATTGGCTAGATTCGCTGTTGGTTTTGTAGCATGAGCCATTACAATCCAGAAGGGGAAACGGTTGTCTTTGCCATATGTGTTCAAGAAAAAACTTATACAAATGATTTGCACAGGCACATATTTGACAAGTTTACTTGAATGTGTGTAGGCGATCTTAGCTTTATCACTATGTTGTGATCTATTGCTAATGCCAATGGCTGTGTTCAGCAGACTCAGCAGTTTTGCAACCGTTTTATGATTTGTCGCGCTGATTGGGTTATACTTTTAGATTTAAAGGAATAGTTCTATCTCAGCGAAGAATCACAAAACGGTTGCAAAACTGTTGAGTCTGCTAAACGCAGCCAATGTTTTGTGAATTTTGCTATTTACTTTATCAAAGAGCATATAGCTAATGCTGTGCTTTTTGTACTGATAAAGTGAACAAGATTCATGAAACGCTAATCAATAGATTACAACATAGTGATAACTTACAGATGCCCTCTGGCATCTTTGAATTAATTAACCTTTTAATTCTGATAAAGATGTTTTCTTCTTTCAGAAATTTAGATATAAACACTATTGTAATCTTATTACAATAGTGTTTATATCTAAATTTCAATAAAAATTATTTCGATAACTCGATAATATATTTCTATCTTACAACCCTAAGTTTATACTTCAAAAAACCTTGATAAAGTTTAGCAATTTTTTATTTACTCCTTACAAATATTAGATGTTTTTCTCGAACCTCAGCCTTATTAAACGTCCAGTCCGTTTGCAGTAGACTATCAGTAGACTTCAGCAGATTCTCTTCAAGAAAATGCTTGTAGAGATACTATAGAAAAACCTCGGAGAAAATGTTTCTGTCTCAAAACAAAATTCTTATTCGTAAATCCATTTTTCAGATGTGTGCGTCCAGTCAATCACTTCTTTCTCGCCAAACCAGAGGTCAATCTCCTTTTTGGCAGACTCAACAGAATCAGAGCCATGAATAATATTACGTCCGACTTGTATGCAAAAATCACCACGAATTGTACCTGGTGCAGAATCTTTAGGATTTGTCTCGCCCAACATTACACGGCCAGTCTTTACAACATTCAAGCCTTCCCAGACCTGAAACAGAAATTTTATAAACATGTATATTAATGTAAATTAAGTTGTTTAACTGCATATTATTGATATTTGATTTTGAACTGATATTATTGATATGAATTATAATTTATTGCTTTACAATATCAATTTTTATTATTTTATTTATATATATTATTTTATTCTATAAGAAAATCTCTCTCACCATTGGCACAACTGGTCCTGAGCTCATATATTTGACCAAACCTGGGAAGAAGGGTCTTGATGCCAGATCTGCATAATGTTTCTTCAAGAGATCTTCAGAAGGCTGTAACACAAAGATGTGAGGTTTGTTTTTTATCGTTGCACTCTGAACTGGTGCAATAAGTTTAAGTGAAACAAACATATATTTGTTTCACTTCAACTTATTGCATCGTGTGTACTAGTTCAGAAAGTGCAATAATAAAAATATAGATGTCTTTTAAACAAGGATATTATATAAAGATTCAATTTACTTTAATAACAATTAAAAACTATATTTCTTATAAAAAATTCATATTTACATTTTCTTATGTTATTTATTATGCTTACAAGCATATAATTGTACAACAAATTCTCAGCCTTAAATTTATTTTTTACACCATATTAAATTCTTTCAATCAGTTACATCCTTCATTGATGATCATAAATGTAACTTAAAAAAATTAAAACCATAAAACTTAAAAAATTAAAGCAGAAAATTAATCTGATTTCAGAAAATCTGATTTGAAAATATAATTGAATGATTTATTTCACTTTAACTTCCATTTAACATTTATTTTTTATCTACTATTCTTTATACTTATAATAACACAAAATACATTACATGCATTTTTTTGCATCGATTTTTTACAAACATATTTGAAACTATTCTGCTTTTGACCTTCAAAGTCGCTACACTTGATTAGAATTGCTACACATATCGATATTCTACATTAGTATTAGACGTTTTCGTTAAAAGCCACTTGCTTGTAATAATTCCACTATATATCCACAAATTTAATATAATATTTAAATACCAATCTCGCCATTATTCCGGTAAACAATATAGGTAGCCAATTTATTTTCCAAAGTTCGATAAGTTTATCGAGATGTGCCAAATTGGCACATTCGCGCGGATTCTTGAAACTGTGAGTTCTCGAACTGTGTGAAGTTAGGGCACAAGCATAATGAAATTATACACGAATTATATATATCAACACTTACCCACAACATCTTCATAGCCACTAATTTGAAACCCTTCTGCTCAAATCGTTGAATAATTTTGCCGACAAGACCACGCTGCACACCGTCTGGTTTAACCATGATAAAAGTACGCTCCTTGTTTTCCGTCATAATTAATTTACAGATAATCAGTAGCAAAATCAAGACAGAACTTAAGAACATGCGATACCAACGTGTCGCAAACTGCAAAGGCTGCTTTCCGAGTTCCGGTTCCCGGACCCCGGTTCAGGGTTCACGGAACAAGTCAAGTAAAGTGATGGCTCTGGTCAGAGTATACTAGGTCGACGCAGTAGGCTCACTCTACATTTTATTATATAAACCAAATATCGATTTATCATCTCCACTATCTCCAACCTTGAGTGCGTTCCGTTTCTCGCATGATGCGCATAATGCGTCGTTTATCCTTGTTGCTCACCAAATGTTAAACAAGGACAATGGATGCATCATGCGCGTTACGGAACGCACCTCTTGAAAAGTGGACGATGTGCGTGCATTCGTTTATGCAGCGGTTATAGCGCAGAAGTATTATGGTGCGGCCACAATGGAAGGAATAAGGAATTAGGAATAAAAAAAAAGGATTCCAACCTATCAGAAACCGTGTATTCCGATGTATCCGATATCTGATAGGTTGAAATATTTATTCCTTATTCCTTCTATTGTGGCTGTATCTTTACTTTATTCTTGTTATTCACAGAGTGTTGAGCAAAGATTAAATGACACTCACTGCACTAACCGCTGCATAAACGAATGCACGCTGTATGTACTCTAATAGCATTTTCGACCCGATCAGGGGGGGTTTGCACCTACCTGGGTTGGATTAATCTTTCCTATTGGTTGACGTCACCCGCTCTACCAATAGGAGCACAAAACGCCATTAATCCAACCCAGGTTGGTGCAAACCTGGCCGGGTCGAAAATGCTATAAGAAAGGTGGACGTTACTATATAGTTTACATCCACTTTGTCAGAGGGCAACAGTGCGCGGTCACAGCATGGAGTACAGACGTACCAATTACTGTAACTTTACATTTAAACCCCATTTAAAGTTATTTATCCTATTAATGTAGTGAAATTAACCCTTTTTATTACTATACTTACCAGAAATCAAACTCCACCGAACTCAAATGAAAACTGAACTGTACCTACTTATATCTACTATCAGAGAGAAACCTGAGAGATAATAGATAATGCTGGATTCACACACTGCATCCGATTTGCGTCGTACGACGCTCTTCGACCAATCAGAAAATTGGATTCCGATGATACGAAGCAAAATCCATCGGAATCCCGTTTCCTGATTGGTTGCAGAGCATCGTACGACGCAAATCGGATGCATTGTGAAACCAGCATATGGCGCCATATAGTAGGATCCTGGATGAGATGGGATGGGTGACCTAGAATCCTAGATTTATCAGAGAGGTGCAACCGGCTTAAGGCTTAGTTTCACAACTGACGGGCCGGTATTCATAGTCGGA